TTTCCTAGGGCCACATGAGAAACAGAAAATATTGTAGAGGGTCGGGCTAAAAACTCAATTCTGCATAATTTTAATAGTATTTCTTTACAAAAAGCAGTAAATAGCCACTGTTGGGGAGTAACAGATTATATGTACCGGAGTTATGTAATCAGAGTACAAATGATGAGTAACTGTATTAGTCAGTTACAGTTACTGTTTCAGTGAGTGATAATTGGATTACAGTTACTTTGTTGAAATAAATGGATTACATGGCGATATTTTCCTGTTTTCCTGTTTTCACATTTTGGGCTAAATCCCCCTGTATTTATTTATTTATTTATTTATTTTATTTTATTTATTTATTTTGGTAGAAACTAAACCAAGTCTAAACTAAATCTAAAACCAGGTCTAAACCAGGTCTAAACCAGGTCTAAAACAGGTCTAAAACCAGGTCTAAAACCAGGTCTAAACCAGGTCTAAACCAGGTCTAAAACCAAGTCTAAACCAGGTCTAAACCAGGTCTAAACCAGGTCTAAAACCAAGGTCTAAACCAGGTCTAAAACCAGGTCTAAAACCAGGTCTAAAACAGGTCTAAACCAGGACTAAAACAGGACTAAAACAGGACTAAAACAGGATTTAACCATGCTGCACGGACGTATTTTTTATACGGTTAAGTAAAGTCTGGGCTTTTTTTATTTTCTTTTAGCAGATAAAACATCTTATGTTACGTTATCCTCGTCTTTGCTTCTCTACAGCAAATCAAGTAATCCAAAGTATTCAGATTACATTACTCACTTTATGTAATTTAATGGATTACGTTACAAACTACATTCTGGGGTATGTAATCTGTAATCTGTAGGGGAATACATTTTAAAAAAGTCACCTGAAAGTAAACAGCATTGTTTTGATGAGCTGCTCAGACTGGTAAGAATTTATGTTATGATTAAGCAATAGGAATGTAACAATAACCGAAATATCGTGATATCGTATCGTCAAAGTTCTCACAATAATATCGTGGACCATCACAATATATCGAATTACAAGTCTCTTTGCTTAAATGAAGAGCTATGACAGAGGGAACTACATAGACCATGATTCTTTGCGCCATTTCAGTGAAGAAATAACAGTTCTAAGCACTTTTAAGTTTTAGTTCTTTGGGTTAAGTCTTGTCAAGGCATTTTAAGAGGAAAAAAAGTAACGTATTATCAGTTTCAGTGGGACCGTCTTGTCCTGTTTTCGCTTTTCTGTTGGGTTTAGGTTGTTGGGTTTTTTGGTCTTTGGTTACGGGTTCTGGCACCGGCTTCTACGGCCCTTTGGTTCTTTTTGGCCGGCTCATCAGGTCCACCTTTCTTTCGTTGTTACTTTTCTTGGTTTCTTGGTTTGGGCACGGGTTAAGTGTTTCTTTTTGGGTTTAGAAAAAACATCTCCACAGAAAGAAAAAAAAAACAACTAAACTTTAATTTGGTTTCCGTGTCCTTTTAAAATATGTTGGGACTCATCTTCCTGGGTCGTAACGTATTTATCACCATCATACCGTGACTATATTGTATCGTGACACTTTGATATTGTTACACCTCTACTAAGCAATGAAAAAAATGTGGTTGCTTTACAGATAATGTCATTTAAAAACCCCTCTTAAATCAGAGCAATGCAGTTTTAGTCCATGCATGTGGTAAAATTATAAAATATGTTTGATTCGTAATACCAAATGATCTTAAATGGGCCGGTCAGAGTCAAACAAAGAGCCGTGTGTGGCCTGAGAGCTGCACAATGACCTGTATAAGTCTGCATTAAATGGTCACATTCACAGGACAGAAATGAACCTTTCCTGAATAGGTTTAGAATAATCTTGAGCTGTATCAGAACATAGACTAGTACACAACCATGGACCACTGTGGAACCTACCTGGACCACAAGAAAGTACAACAAATTTAGGGAATGTGCAATCAAAAGTGTACATAGGTTTAGTAAATGTGCAATCAAAACTGTACAAAGGTTTAGTAAATGTGCAATCAAAAGTGTACATAGGTTTAGGAAGTGTGCAATCAAAACTGTGCAAAGGTTTAGGAAATGTGCAATCAAAAGTGCACATAGGCTCAGGGAATGTGCAATCAAAACTGTACATAGGTTTAGTAAGTGTGCAATCAAAACTGCACATAGGCTTAGGGAATGTGCAATCAAAACAGTACATAGGTTTAGGAAATGTGCAATCAAAACTGTACATAGGTTTAGTAAGTGTGCAATCAAAACTTCACATAGGCTTAGGGAATGTGCAATCAAAACAGTACATAGGTTTAGGAAGTGTGCAATCAAAACTGTACATAGGTTTAGGAAATGTGCAATCAAAACTGTACATAGGCTCAGGGAATGTGCAATCAAAACTGTACATAGGTTTAGGAAGTGTGCAATCAAAACTGTACATAGGCTTAGGGAATGTGCAATCAAAACTGTACATAGGCTCAGGGAATGTGCAATCAAAACTGCACATAGGCTTAGGGAATGTGCAATCAAAACTGTACATAGGTTTAGTAAGTGTGCAATCAAAAGTCTACATAGGCTTGGGAATGTGCAATTAAAAGTGAACATAGGTTTAGGGAATGTGCAGTTATTAATAGAATACAAGAATACAAAGGGCTAAGAATAATTTAAAGGTCCTGCTGGTGCATCACTCGTGGTCATAATTGGTCTCCTATCTATTTTTGTTTGTTTATGTGGTGCTTTGTGCTGTGTTGTCCTGTTTTTTTTTTGTTTTTTTTGATAAAGCAAAGGACTATCTTATCTTAAATGCATTCTATAGTTGAAATAAAGCGTGTTTTTTTTTTTATCATTTTGGTGTCAAGTCTAGTCCTTAGTATCGAAATATGGTTGAAATTATAGCATCAAGACTATGTGCGCCTGTATGTACACGCAGAATATAACAATATAATCAAACTCCGCAAAGTAATTGAAACCTCTACTTTCACAGTAAGATTAAGTCATGAAAGCTCAGCAGAAGAACACAGCCTGCTTTTACCTACGGCACCTGCACTGCCATTTTAATCCATATGTGCTCGGTGAGTGCTATGTCATTACACAGGGCTGCTATTAAGAAAGCCGCTCGCACACAAAGGGCCGCCGTGTCTGCAGGTGAACCCGGGAGAACTGATGGATCGCGCGGGTTGTCATAGCAGAGGGCCCCCGTATAGATGTACTCCAGAGATCAAACCGTTCAATCACACACATCTGTCAAACTAATGAATTACGCTGCTGCCCCCACAGGGCCGAACGCGCCGCTACAAGTCTCCCTCCACAATCAGACTTCAGAGAGTTGACTAATACATCCCCCCGGCGGTGTGGGGCAACGCCGTCTCCAAACCATCACTGCCAGACGGAAATTTCAAACATCGGAAAGGCTGCTAAAGCTAGACGGTGGAACTTTTCTGGTGGAAGTGCTTTTGCTTTGCTTGAATGCTCCACAATTTGGCGTTAAAAGTATCAAAAATGAGATACTAATTGATACTAGAACTAAAATCGAACTAGATACTGAAAAAAATTACATAACTGGATAAAATTACACCTTTCCCTGAACTGTTTCGTGTTTTATTTTATCAGAACAAGTAAAAAAAACACATTTTGATTTGAAAATTACAATACTGTCAAAAAAAAACTTTTAAAATTATTATTTGGGTATCGAAATCAATATTGGAGCATCAAATCTACTCTTTAGTGTTGAAATTGAGTTTGAAATTTTAGTATCATGACAACACGAATGCATACAACTCCAAAACAGCTCCAAAAGTTCAGAGTTACAGCTCAGATCTGCGCATAGGAGAGCACACACACACTAAAAATGTGTTATTCTGTGCGTTTTTCCAGCAATAATCGAACAAATGCAAGATATTGTGTGTTTAATGCCGTACTTTGGAACATTAGAAGCAATATCTCCAGATGATGGACTCTCCCCTATAAAAAGTTCCACAGTGCAGCTTTAAGGCTCTCAGTAAAGTGCACAATCGCGTCTAAGAGTGCTATTTGACGGAACACGAGGTCTGGATGTGACGGTTCAAACTCGCCCGGAGTCCAAAACAAAACAAAAAAAAAAGGACGCGGGTTACATAGAATTTGGACGTGCCCCGTGCGTCATGTGGAAATGCCTATAGTGGAGCGGACGCAGTGATGTCGCATAGCAGACAGGTGCGTGTGCCGAATCCCGCACGACCACCAGCAGCAGCACGCTCTCCGGCACATCCTCCATCCAGCGCCGTGCCTCTACCCCCTCTCCCCCGCTCGTGCCTCCTCTCCTCCTCCTCCTCTCTCCTCCCTCTCCTCTCCTTCTCTCCCTCTCCTCTCCCTCTCCTCTTCCTCCCCCTCCCCAAACCCGCAGACAGAGCTCAAGGCTGCGCTGCTGCCGCTACACATCGACCGCAAGAATCGGCTCTCTCGTGTCGACATCGCAGCCCACACAGCACCACAGTGCCACTTCCCCTGTGGTGCTCCTCATCCGTGCTGCTCGCGGCACTGCGGTATCTCGGCTTCACCGTGTGCCGCACCGAAGAGCGCGCGCCGTGATCTCCTCCAGCCCGCCTCGTGCTCCCCGTGCCAAGGCTGGACCCGAACCACCTGTTTACGCACACACGCGCACATTCACATTTAAGAGACGCGCACGAGCCGTTTACATCATCCACATGAACAGTGAGAACGGGGGAACCACAGACCGTTTTAACTCAATACAACTTCAATGAAAATGTCTAATGACGCGGCATGACAACGCAGAGGAGCGCGCTCCAGCCCAGAGCCAAGAGGAGATAAGGACATTAAAAGAGGAGACGGGCTGTGGGGACATTAAAGACAGTTTGATCAGATAGGCACAGAGCAGTGTTCTGCAGCTGGACACAGCAGTGAAAGCGCCAGTGTAGCTCACAGAGCCACACAGAGCCACACAGAGCCACACAGAGCCACACAGAGCCACACAGAGCCACACAGAGCCACACAGAGGCGCAGGACCCGCTGTGCTCCAACGTGAGAAAGACGCACTCACTCACCGATGTGGATGATAGAGTCTGACAGCGCAGACTTCCACTCCAGGCTCCAGAACACGGCGACAAACAGCAGCGCCGAAACAACTTTCATGTTGTCCAAAGATATTTCCGACAAAAGAGAAAGAGAAGCCCGCTGTGGTGAGCGGAGCAGATAAACGCCGAGGTGCTCAGCTCCGTCTCCTACACTCCTAGACTCCTAGACTCCTAGACTCCTTAGTCCATCCGCGAGGTGCCAAAGGAAATTCCCTGATCCTCGCAGCGGAGCTCCTGGCGCTGTGCGCGTGCCTCCTCGGAGGCAGACGGTACAGATTCCCGGGATGTCACAGACTCGTGCCCTGTTGAAATTCCTCCAACCGTTAAATGAGAGCGCGAGCGCGGCGGGCTCAGCCGCAGAAACAAACCGCCGACGCTTTAGTCGAGCGGAGCTCCGGTGATGTGGCGCTTATTCAAAAGAACTATTGTGAACCAGTTGATTGCGCAGGGAGCCCCGGAGCTGATAATCAGCCCGATCCTCGCGTTTGGAACAGGCGCAGTTCCCTGCACCAGCCTCACACAGCGGCAGCTCGCGCAGAGCACACGGGCTAAACTTCCATTTTCCCCCGAGCTTTGATCCTCCTCGTTCGGCTGCGCCTCAACTCACAGGCAGCCGGACTTTGTGGAGTGACTGAAGGCCAGTGATGGAGAGCTGTCACATGGCATCACCAGAACAAGGCTCCATATTCCCAAATAATCTCCAGTTTCCCGCGGAATGCGTCCCTCACGCGGGCGGAATACAGATGAAGGTGACAAAATAAAGAGTCGGAGGATCCGCTTCTCGTTCTGCAGAGCAAAAGAAGTAGACTCCAGTGCCCGCTACGTCTGCGGCCGCGCGATCAGCCCCAGCGCCGAGGTGCTGTGAAGAGGAGGTCTGTGTCCGTGTGGGAGAAACGGAGAGGGAGGGGGCGACGCGAGCGGCGCGAGCGGGAGGAGAGGGAGGAGACCCGGGAGAGGGAAGAGAAGCAGCCGGTGGTGGTTTGGATGAAACCACCGCGTCTGAAATGACATTAGCGTCTCTGCCACAGGGACGGAAGGAGCGCGAGGGCTTTTAAATCTAACTTCAGCCTGTGTGCACGCGGGCACTTTTATCTTTCTGATTATTCCTTTAGTCCTTTATTCTGTGGCTCAGCAAATCATGGACCACTGACATCCAATTATGCATATTTTACTCTGGATGCCCTTCCAGCCGCACTGTCACCACCAGACAAGTACAGTGTGGATGAATGTGTTATTCTCAGACATCACCTGATCAACTCATATTTGAACCAGTCACTCTGTGGTTAGTGGGTTGATCTGTTACATTATGTTCTTATTATTCAACACGTCCTTCATGTGCTGATCCACATAAACCCTCCTCCTGTGAGTCTGCAGTCTGCCCCCTGGAGGCCACAGTGGTCAGGGTCTCTGTTAATCTGGCCCAGCCTTGGATTAGGGATTAGAGGGGTCGACCGTGGTCCCGGGGTGTGGATGTTTTCAAGGAACAGCAGATTAGATGAAAGCAGCACTCACTCTTATGGTTTATGTACATTTATATATGAAGTGCTGATCCTTTGTGGAAATACAAGAGGTCGGCACTTTTGGACTTTGGTACATGATAAAAGAAAAACTCATCTGGATGAGCACTTCCACATCAAAACTGGAATTAAACCAGGACTAAACCAGAACTAAACTAGCACTAAACCTAGGACTAAATCTGGACTAAATCAGAACTAAATCAGAACTAAACCAGAACTAATTCATGACTAATCATAAACAAACCTAGGATTAAACAAGGACAAAACCAGGACTAAACCAGGGCTAAACCAGGACTAAACCAGGACTAAACCTAGGACTAGACCTAGGACTAGACCAGAACTAAATCAGGAATAAACAGGACTAAACTAGAGCTAAATTAGGGACTAAACCAGAACAAGATTTAAGACTAAATCAGGACTAAACCAGAACTAAACCAGGACTAAATCAGGACTACACCAGGACTAAACCAGGATTAAATCAGGACTAAACTAGGACTAAATCAGGATTAAACCAGAACTAACTGTAGGACTAAATCAGGACTAAACCGAGGACTAAACCAGAACTAAATCAGGACTAAAATGGGACTAAACCAGGACTAACCCAGAACTAAATCAGAGCTAAACCAGAACTAAAACATAGAACTAAACCAGGACTAAACTAAAACTAAACCTAGGGGAAAAAAACAGGACTAAACCAGAACTAGATCAGGACTAAACATAGGACTAAATCAGGACTAGACCAGAACAAAATTTAGGACTAAACCAGGATTAAATCTTGACTAACCTAGAACTAAATCAAGACTAAAACAGAACTAAGACAGGACTAAACTAGAACTAAACCAAAACTAAGAACTAAACCAGGACTAACCCCCCCTCTACTCTGCTCTTTCAATGAGACAATGTACGATGCGTGTGATTTTAAAAGAGCGTACAGTAGGTCTCTCACTGCTTTTAAAATGTCATCTTTGAAAACACTAAACACTTTCACGTGCCATTGCCTCGGAGAGTTTTTACATTTCAGATGGAGAGATCTTTTGGAGCATGGATGGTATTTCTGTGATATTTTGCGAGAGTGGAAGATGTGAGGCGCGCGCCGTCACCTCCAGTCTCCTGCAGTGTTTGTGTGATTGTATCTGCAAATACTAAAGGCGAATTACACACATGAAATACACACTCACACCACCTAAAGGGGAAACATGTGAATATACGGAGATATTTACATTTTAATAAAGTGATATGATTGTAAAAACTGCATTATTAAAAAAAATAATAATAATAATAATCATTTAAAAAGCGTATGTCCAGACCCCGGCCCTTCTCCTCTCAGTTGAGCAGCTCCATTTGAAATGTGATTGTGGGCAGAGTTTAGAGACTCAATCAGGACTAAACCAGAACTAAATCTGGACTAAACCAGAACTAAATCTGGACTAAACCAGAACTAAACCAGAGCTAAACCTAGGACTAAACTAGAACTAATCTGGATTAAACCAGAATTTAATCAGGACTAAACCAGATTTAAATCAGGACTAAACGAGAACTAAACCAGAGCTAAACCTAGGACTAAATCTAGACTAAACCAGAACTAAATCAGGACTAAACCAGAACTAAATCAGGACTAAACCACATTTAAATCAGGACTAAACCTAGTACTAAATCTGGACTAAACAAGAACTAAATCAGGACTAAACCAGAACTAAACCAGGACTAAACCTTGGACTAAACCAGAACTAAATCAGGACTAAACCAGAACTAAATGAGAACTAAACTAGAGCTAAACCTAGGACTAAATCAGGACTAAACCTTGGACTAAACCAGAACTAAATCAGGACTAAACCAGAACTAAATCAGGACTAAACCTTGGACTAAACCAGAACTAAATCAGGACTAAACCAGAACTAAATCAGGACTAAATGAGAACTAAACCAGAGCTAAACCTAGGACTAAACCAGAACTAAATCAGGACTAAACCAGAACTAAATGAGAACTAAACTAGAGCTAAACCTAGGACTAAACCTTGGACTAAACCTTGGACTAAACCAGAACTAAATCAGGAATAAACCTTGGACTAAACCAGAACTAAATCAGGACTAAACCAGAACTAAATGAGAACTAAACTAGAGCGAAACCTAGGACTAAACCTTGACTAAACCTTGGACTAAACCAGAACTAAATCAGAATAAACTTAAAGGACTAAACCAGAAACTAAATCAGGAATAAACCTTGGACTAAACCAGAACTAAATCAGGACTAAACCAGAACTAAATCAGGACTAAATGAAACTAAACCAGAGCTAAACCTAGGACTAAACCAGAAAACTAAATCAGGACTAAACCAGAACTAAATGAGAACTAAACTAGAGCTAAACCTAGACTAAACCTTGGACTAAACCAGAACTAAATCAGGACTAAACCAGATTTAAATCAGGACTAAACTAGGACTAAATCAGGACTAAACAAGAACTAAACCAGAGCTAAACCTAGGACTAAACTAGAACTAAATCAGGACTAAACCATGACCAAACCAGAACTAAATAAGGACTAAACCTAGCAGCTCTATGTAAAATGTGATTGTGGGCGGAGTTTAGAGAATCACAGTTTGAACCTTTCAAAATAACAGATCACTTTGAGTTTAGTTTCATTAGTTTAGCTTTTCTTCCTTCCCTGTGGTCTGGGAGTCCCTGCTTAGACTGCTTCCCCAGATAAGTGGAAGATGATGGATGGATAGTTTAGCCTTTATTTTGAAGGGACAATGCACAGAGACAGTTGGCCAGGCTGACACCACCTAGTGCCTCTGCTCAAATTCATTTCTCTCCAGTAACTAGTTCAGAATTCAAAATAAAATAGACGGTTCACAAAAAACCCTGGAAGTGCAACTTTGGGCACCAGCCAATCAGCGAAGAGTCATATATTCAGTGTTGTCAACGATTCCCAGGATCGAGGCCAGAACAAAGAGAATGTTTGGTGAATTTTGTCAAGGGGAAAGACGTTATTGCCCTTCTTCCTACAGGATTTGGGAAAAGCTTAATAAACCAGTTAACCTCATTAGTGGTGCTTTACATGCTTCACCACCAAATAGCAGCGATTGGTTAAATGATAAAAAAGTACCCGCCTACTGTCGAGCGAACAAATCCTAATGCTGCGAGGTCAGACGGTTTCTACAAATTGAAACAAAATAAAACCAGCTGATGAATCAGGCTACAGAGACATTAAGCTAAAAAAAACACAAAAAAAACCCAGATGTTCCGCACTAGATTAGTGCAAAATAGCTGTTTCCATCTGCAGTCTGTGATTTACAAAAATAAATAACTCAATGCAATTATAGTCAACAATAAGAACAAACCACACTGTCCACTCTTAGACACACACACACACACACATTAACAAAGCACAGCATTTTTGACACCACTTAAAGGGCCCATCTCATGCAAAATAACTCTTTTCACATTGTATCTTCTGCACATAAACAAGCACAATTTGGGTTTTGGAACATCCATTACACAATAGTTATGAAATCTGACTGATTTCTTGGAGGCGTCACAGAC